CGGGGTATTTCCGCTGTTCTGACCAGGAAACTACGAATAAGAAACCAACTACAGCTTCATCTAAGCGCTTCATGTCCGCTGGAGCAGGAGGGTCTGTTACTCTGCCGTTTTGTCATGACCTCTCCTTATTCATGCAGAGCAGGTCTGTTGTTACTTGGAGTGGAAATCGAACTGTAAGGTCCAAAACTTACCAAGAAACGGACAAAACCAGATACGGTTTCCTCTGTGGATGTAAAGGTCGAAGTGGAGGAGGCGAGGATCTCTGAGCAGAGACCCTCCTCATCGGGTAACGTTCATGTGAGACTGCTAGCTAAACATAAGACACCGGTGGTATAAACGTGTGGAAACGCATGAACTGTCATGCATTAGCTACTAAAAGGTTATTGCGCCTGCGCAAAGGCTGGGAAAGTTGTTCTTTGGTTTTGTTCACTGTATACCACTGTGCATGTTACCGTTAAAGCTGTTGCAGACTAGACTTTATTTCATCTGACAACATCAGCATTCAGAGGGTATGTACGGCAAAGTAAGAATTTCATTGTACAGGGAAACACGTTTCCTAACTGTGCATGTGACAAATAAACACTTTGACCCTTTGACCCTTGACCATATATGCTACTACTTGTGCTGTCATGTAATTGTTGCTTTTAAGCAATATTTCATGTTTTATCTAATTTGCATTCTAATGTTTTATCTATAGATGCATTTTAATGTTTTATCTTTCTGCGTGCAATGTGTTAAACACTGAACTGCCATTGTGTATGAAAATGTGCTGCAGTATATAAATAAACTTACTTTGCCTTGCCTAAAAGCCATATGTTGCACTGATCCTTAGCATAAGGTTTCTGTATTTCACTGAAAGCTGATGGATTTAGATTGTATGAGTCATTTTCACTATTCAGGATCCTGCCAATGAGTCTGCAGATAATAACTTTCCATACTGTGTGTGTGTGTTTGGAGGTGACTGCAATAAAGAGCCACTGACAGAGACAGAGAGTGTTCATCATACAGAAATGGTTTGTTTGTGTGTGTGTGTGTGTGTGTGTGTGTGTGTGTGTGTGTGTGTTTCAAGAAGTATAAAAATCTGGGACAGAATGAGCCTTGGGGCGTAGCAGCAGCCATCAGTTATCACTGAAGATGAGGTTCAATCCTCTAATAAGATCTCTGAGAGCCTATGAAACCTGGCGACACACAACCTTTTGGAAAATCCAAAGGCGAAATAGCGTCAGACAGACACAGGGAAGATGAAAATATTGGGGCTGAGTTTTGCTTCATTATTTGGTGTTCTCTTTTTAAAAATGAGACATCTGTTCTCACAAAATGATCAGCAATAAAACAAAAATTGCACATATGGTACAGTTACTTTTCTGCTCACAGGTGTAGTTTGCTACTTGCTCTCAGTAAAGTCAGAGAATCTAGTAAAATATATGGACATTTCATGTGCTATGATTTGGTAAGTACCACTTGGGACCAGAGCGACTGCTGTAGCCTGACTTATGAGTGATATGGATAGGATAGAAAAGTCTTCATTTCAGCTTTAAATTGGAAATAGTTCAGCTTTGAAAAAGCAAAAACTGATGGCATTACAACATAGACACTACATCTGTCCTGTGGAGTTGTATTATATACAGAACAGTAAGATGCTGCTGTTTGGTCAAAGTTTACAGGTTTTCATTTGATGTGATCGCCACACACCTGGTGAGTGCACCAATTAACTCCCCCTTTGTGTGTTAATTAGTGAAATCTATAAGAATGCATGAAATTGATAAACGGATACACAAAATAAATAAATCAAAATAAAAATCTCCTTGGGTGCACATGTTAGTGTCCTATATCTTCGACTGATAGGTTAAAGAAAGTTGATGAATAACAGTTTTGATCATTTGATATATTATTTATTTACCAATACTGTCATGTTTTCTTGGTGATCTTAGGCAGATACATAATTAGGATTGTTAGATTTTTTACACGTCATTATAAGTAGCTAATTACTGACCTTTCTTTAAGATTTCCATTGTCTGTGTAAAAATAAATGTTTGACTTTTTAATTTTTTTATATAGATAGTGAAGGGTTAAAATGTGCGAACGACGTAGTAAAGGAGGAAAAAAAAATCTCCATAGCTGTGACGGGCTCTCGCACCACTAATAAAGATCTGCTAATAAAGCGGTCACCGGTGCTGCTCGTTACCGTAAATTTTAGTAAATGGATTTCCGCTCGAGAAGCGAGAACGGGAGCCCGAACGGCCCCGCGGCGCGCGGTTGTAGGACGTGATTAAAAGGCGCGTGGTCTGCTCTTACAGTTCCTCCTCTGGTCACAGCTCTCTGTGGCGCGTGGTGCTGTCAGTCAGTGGCGTCGGCAGGAGCGGCTGTTCACCTCTGTTCTGCTGCTGTGTGTGTCGAGTGTATGTGTGGCTTGCGCGTGAACAGGCAGAATTCAAGAACAAGCAGGCCCGCGCAAACTAGCAAGAAAGGCAGGCAGGCAGGGCAGAGAGGCAGCCCGTGAGCACTCAGCTAACAGCCATACGGTACCCTGCGAGCGATGGTCACGTCCACCCCAGGGATCTTTCTGCTGCCGATGCTAATATGTTTCCAGCACTGCATTGACGCCCACGGTAAGTCTCGAGTCCGCTGTTGAAATGCATTTATTTGCTTGTGTGTGTGTGTGTGTGTGTCCGTCCGTACGGCTCTGAGAAACGTACTCTATACGGTGAGGTTAGCTAGCACTGCCGAGCTGTACACCTGTCTTGGCTGCTCCTTGAAGGAATTGCCGTGCCAGGCTACACCTTTAGGCTAATCGATCCTACGCTTAATAGGGACGAAACCCCCGAAATATTTTGGAAGGCTTAATTTGGACATGTATTTATTCATGAAGAGCATATTGCTATTTTAAATTAATAACTGGTTTAACTCGAGTGTTTTTAATTCGTTATCCTTTAGCAAATGAAGGGGAAGGAGGGGGAGGCCCGTTTGGTTTGTGGCTTTCTATACTGCAACTGCTTGTCGCTGCTTATTCGTGGCCAATTAGCCCTGCGGTTTACTAATTTCACCCTGAAAACACGCAGCCCTTGGGAATAAACCCCTGCTTCTTCTGCTCTTTGAGCGTCTGTAGGTGTCTTGATTTCTCATTCATATCCACTGTGGGATTTTCCTCTGCAATCACCACCCCTAGCGAGATTGGTTATTTATTTATTACTGAAGTGGAAGGCGACAGTGGAAGCGGGGTGGCAATGAGAAGGGATTACAATGGCGTGACAGGGAGCGAGGATATTGTTGGGGGGGAGGGAAGAGGAGCAGCAGCTGAGTGCGTAAAAGGAGAGGAGTCACCGCGGCCTATTAGTCCACCAGGTGATCGCAATGAAGGCCTAATTATGACCAGCGTGGCCAAGGTTAAGGTGTTGCCATCTGGTAGTACTTGTAGAGCGGTTTGCAATGGGGATGTAACCACTGATAACTTCCATTATCCGTCTTTTTTTTTCCTGTTGCTCACTGAATTCTAGAAGAATTCCATAAATTAGTTTGTAATGTAAATTGACTTCCAGAGCTGAAAGGATCTACCTTGTCCTACAGTCTAAAAATCATAAATGTGTCTAATTAATCACCAGCCAGTTTAATAGTCAGTCCCGTGCAATGGTATGCACTTCAGTTCAACACTTCCACCTAAATATTTGTTTATCAAGCTCATTGTGTGGTGTTTTGGTGAAATTGTCATAAGTGTATAGATTCAGTCATGGTTATTATTGCAATGGTAGTTGAATGTGGTGTTGTATTGGGCTACATTATATTCAGAAGTGTTCCTAATATTCTGACCATTTGTGTATGTAGCTGGGGAGGACAAAAACAGATTGGACTGTTATAGGTACAGTTGTTGTAAGCTAAATACATTTAAACTTGATTATTCACAACTCCTGACATTTAATCCTGCAAACATTTCATGTCTTTGGTCAGTTAGATCACTAAGAATATGAAGTGTCATAAAAGGCTTCCTTCATCTCATTCCCATTTGTCAGAAATTTACATGCACCGGTTAGTATTTGGTAGCATTGTTTAACTTGGGTTAAACATTTCAGGAAGCCTTCAAGATTTTGCAGCAAGTTGCTGGAATTTTAGTCCATTCCTCCAGACAGAACTGAGTCAGGTTTGTAGGCCTCCTTGCTCTCACATGCTTTTTCAGTTCTGCCCACATTTTGTTTGAGGTCAGGGCTTTGTAATGGCCACTCCAGTACCTTGACTTTGTTGTCCTTCAGCCATTTTGCCACAACTTTGGAAGTATGTTTCGGGTCACTGTCCATTTGTGACCAAATTTCCTGGCTGAAGTCTTGATGTTGCTTCAATATATCCACATCATCTTCCTTCCTCATGTCATCTAGTTTGTGGAGTGCTCTAGTCCCTCCTGCAGCAAAGCACCCCTGTGGCTCAGGAGGTAGAGCAGGTGTCCTCCTAACCAGATGGTTGGCAGTTTGATTCCTGGCTTTTGTTGACATGTCCTTGAGCAAGACACTGAACCCTATTTGCTCCAAGTGATGTCACAGTATGTAAATGTGAGCGCTTGGGAGTGTGAATGGCCAAATAGTGTGAAAGCGCTTTGAGTATGCTGCAATGCATAGAAAAGCACTATACAAATACAAGACCACTTAACAACCCCTGTGCTTCATGGTTGTGATGGTGTTCTTCAGCTTTGCTGTTTTCCTCGACACAATGATGGTCATTATAACTCAGTCCAATTAGTTTTTTTTTTTAAAATCAGACCAGAGGAAATGTCCTCAGTCAGATCTTTGTCCCCATGTGCAGCTGCAAACTGTAGTTTGCCTTTTATATGGAGGTCTTGGAACAGTGGCTTCTTCCTCTTTTTACTGTGGCTATACTTTGGTACCCGTTTCCTCCAGTGTCTTCACAAGGTCCTTTGCTGCTGTTCTGGGTTTGATTTGTACATTCATTTCTAGGAGACAGACCTGAGCGGTATAATGACTGTGGTTATACTTGGGCATTATCTGTACAGATGAACGTGGTACCCAGGTGTATGTAAACTGCATGTAGGGTATTAAACAAAAGTGACTGAAGTGAATATGCACTTCCTGGTCGGGTGAAATCTTGTTCCTTTTGCCCACCTTACAGGTTGCTAACAAGATGGGCTACAATCCACTGAGTTTATTACTGTTACTATTTTTACAGGCTGCTCAGGGACTGAAATATTTGACTTCTTGGAGATGGAATTGCGGGACTGATGTAGTGTGACAGTCCTGGGTCAGGGCTGGCTGCCAACCCCTTTTTTATAAAATATATTCAACTTTGACTTTTTTTTATGAAGTGTTGATTTCTGAAGCTTGTTGACAGGTTAAATTATAAAATGGCTCAGGCATGGTGAGCTGTGTATGGCTGCTTATGTCTTGCATGGTTTTCAGTCTGAATTTCTACTTGCTATGTAAAATGGCCTATGGAGGAAGCAGTGAATCAAAACTAGTCCTTGTAAATGCATTCCTAATGGCATATACCCACCACTACCTCATCTCCTTGTCCTTCTCAGATCCAGATATACTTGTATGCACGTGCAGCCAGAGACTGAGTGGGGTTTTTTTGGGGGGGGGGGAGATGTCGTGCAGATTGGATGCAAGAGCAGCAGCACTGACCTGATTAAAAATGTTGGATATTTTTTTTTTCTTTCTTCTCCACAGTTACTGTGATACCATGTTAAACCCAGATCCTCAGCTGTGGGGAGGGCACTGGGTTTTTAAAGTGGGTGGGTTGGTAGACAGAAGGGGGAGGAGAACACTGCAACCACTTCTGTTACTGGGTAAAATTGCATTGCCATGACCTCGAGTGTGACAGCATTTACATAGCACACAATGGTCTGCGCCACGGCTGTTGAATCGGTGTTTCAAACTCATGGGCAATACTAGCAGGTGGAATGATCATCATGTGGAAAAAGGAATTTAAAGATCATGCCTTCGCTTAATAGCTCTAAGTTGATCTAGATTTCAGTTAAAACACGGGTATGAATTGATCCAGAAAATTTGGGTAGAATGAGACATTGTGTGGAAAATATAGTAAATTTGAGAACTGAAAAAATTGTTTTCCCAAGAATCTGTGTTGAAAATGCACCTAAAACAGACCCAGGCAACCTTCCATTAGTATACAAAAGTATAGCGATCTTGTGATAATTTATGCTAAGCAACAAAAAAAGGCACAAATCTTTGAAGGGGTAGAAGTGACATTTGTCTCAAGACAAAGCTTTCTCAAACTTCATTCAGTGATGGCAGTGCAGAGAGCTTAGACTTTAAATGTCAGGCAGAAATTGAATGTGGCAGCAGGGAAAAGAGAGTGCTCTTGTACAGGTTAGAATACTTTATTACTGAAGTTTGTTATTGTGCTGATTGAATCAAAGCACAACCTTTGGTGTCAAGATGGCAAATCAGTGGGTTTCTGTATCTGTGTGAAGATTTGCAGATGGATTAGTCTCAGCAAAATGAACTACCAGGAAAAACTAACTGCTTTGTTCCATTTGAAAACCTAGTTGCAGCTTTTGTTACTTGGCTGGTTCACGTGATTTGTTTCTGATCAACACAGGACAGCAGTCAGTGCTGGAGGTTCTCTCTAGCTCGGTCAGCAGTAAGTCAGGCTAGAGGTGATGAGTCAGGGCTTTTACTGTTCAGATTTTTTTTTCTCTCATGCAACAACTTGTGATGATGAGTCTGAACTTCTGCCTGTTGTAATGCCTTTTAGATTTTTCTCAAGAACTGAAAGCTCACGCAGCCAAATGAGTAATTTAAAAGTAAATGATACTCTATTACTACTAGGTATAGGGACATGGGTGATTAATCAGTTGACAGTTAAAATAAGTATAACTGACAGTGCAGAGTAAGAGGATGAGCAGCGTTGACTGTCAAAATGTGTAACTTGGTTACACCAACATGCCTTTTGCTGTTTCTGTGAGTTGCTCATTTGCCGACTGCCAGAGTACAGGCCTTAACGACTGTAAAATGAAAGCACCTCCTTGCCATGTAAGAAAACATTAGCAGTGCATCTGTCTGTGCTTGCACTATTGCAGTTGTGTTGAACACTGCAGCACAGTTTCCACCGAGTTGGCTGTCTGGCATAGTTGCCATCTCAGGCTCTAACACAGGCTGCGAGTGGAGTGTCAGCCAGCCAGGAGCACCACTGAAGTTTAGGACCTGAATTACATATCAACATAAGTGATTAACTGTATGTGACACCCCTGCTCTTAGTGTAGGCCTAGATGTGTTTTTCTGGTGTTGGTTCCTGTAAATGTAGGCTAGACAACCATTTTAGCAACAGCATTTATGTCCTGCTGGGACATCTGCAGGCCAGGAGCAGCTCTGCTGCTACCTACAGTGAACAATGCACAAAACTCCAGGCACAAGGTATGCGTTTTTATTTTGCATGAAACCAGAAGTGAATTTGTCTGGCTGGTTGTTAGAGACAGGAGTGGAAGCTTTGCAAGTTTCAATGTTTTGTTTCATAACTCAAGTGTTCAGGTCTTAAATTCCCAATTTGTAGCAAGCATTTGCAGCATGGCTCCTGCACCGTGAAAACAAATTTACAATATATTAAGCTTATTTTTAATAAAGCAAAGGTAACTCTTGTACTTTTAGTTTAACATGTACATGTACTTGCACTGCACATGACTTAACTCAATATAAATGTGTATACAGACAATTCAGTACTGCTGACTCTGGTTATGCAGTTTTTACAGCCTCAGCTGTGTACCTCACTGCGTGCACCATTTATCTACCTGGACACAGAATGTCCTGGCTAAAGCAAGTACCAATATCAGGGTTATTTTAAGACATGGAGGCATCACTACCTCCAGTGTATCAACCTTTGCACTGCAGCAGATACTTTTAGTAAGTTCTTTATTTCCCCTTCAGAAAAAAGTTTGGGACATTTGGGTTTGTTTCCATTGTATAGGCAGTACATGATAACAAGTTGATTCCTGGCAGGTATTTCTTAAGCTCATAACGGTTCCTTCCGAAGGTTGAAAGGCATCGGTCTAAATCATTTCAAATAGTGTTTGCTTGGTTTGGGGGATATTTTCCCACCGGTGCCTCTTTCCTGTGTTCAGTTTTTGTACATGAGATGTCGTCCAGCTATTGAACAGCTGTTACCTAGTGCTTGCTGTAAGGGCACTGAAGTTGCATTTTATATTATCACTTCATTTGCAGTGCAAACACAAGGATTTGAGTCTAGACCTCAGTTCTCTGTGTGGCTCTTACTGGGAGTCCCCACTGAAAGTGAGACGAGTGGCTCGTTCTGTGTCTTTAGCATCAGAACAGCTGTCAGCAGGCAAGGGGCTTTACCAGGCTGACCAACAACTGTACTGGACAAAAATGTTTTCATGCAAGAGCTTCAGGAAGAAAATGCATTTTTATGCATCATATGGATTTATTAGTGGAAATGAAACCCAAGCAGGCTGATCAGTCCTAATAGATGCCAGTAGAAACGGAAAACAAGATCTGAAAACATGACTTTAAACGGCTGACTGAGATTACGCATGACTAGATGTAGCAGCGTAGAAGTTAGACAAAAGAGGGTTCTATGGGAATGAGTCTTGGGTTAAGTGTGGATTGACACTTGGTGAAAGGAATTTTATCTGCAGCATGAGGCGCATAGAAAAGTTAAACATTGTATTGGAGGAAAGTCAGATGCAGTACCATTCAGTGAAGGGTCGTCTCTTCTGGTTTTATAGTGCTGTATAAATGCCACTGTTTCAGATCAAGAGCTGGACAGCAGTTCATTCACAATACAGTAAAGCCTTGGGCTGCAACTATAATTCGTTCCAGCAACGTGCTTGTAATCCAAAGCACTCGTATATCTGAGTGAATTTCCCCATAAGAAATAATGGAAACTCAGATGATTTGTCCCACAACCACTTATTCATACAAAATGATTACAGTGTAAAGTAAAAACAAATTAGCCTGTGCATTACCTCTTTAAAAGAATCATGGCTGGTGTGAGGGTAGAGAGAGGAGCCATCTGTTGGCTCACTGCAATATTTTTCTTTTTGTGCAACTAACAAGGAACCTGTCCAATGACACTTGCTTTTGAGGATTTGGCAGATTTTACACATCTCCCTTATAAAATCTTGTGATGTCTGCCTTGGTCATGCTTCTTGTTCCTTTTTAACTTCCACCGTAAATCTCCTTTTTTCTTACCACCTTTTCAACCTTTTTTTTTTCTTTATCTGGACCATTGTTGCAGTACAGATGTTGACTATACGAGTGATTCGTGAGAACCATCGGCTCAGTTGTGACATGACACTCTACAAAACATATGTGCCACTTGTATTGCAGGACCTCACTTGTTTAGCAAATTAAAATTTTGCTCTTCTTGCAAAACACTCGCAGTCGAGGTTATTCGCAGTCCAAGGTTTTACTGTGTGGTTTTGCGGTGCTGGCAGATGTGTGACCACCTTGGGTACCATCATGGAAAATGTAAAATAAGTTACTCAAGAGGTTGGAAATGGCCTGCTTTCCATGGAACTCCAGCATTTTGAGCTGGTGTGGATCAGGGTGGCTGAGAGTGCCAGCTAGTTCTGTTAAACAACTTGTTTAGAAAATTATAGCGCTGCAGGGAACTCTGCTAGGGCTAAAACGGTAAATGATTATTGAAACATGCAGGTCCTTAATTACTTCAGTTTTCCTCAAACCCTTTGTTTTTTTCTCTACAGGTACTAAAACAGAATGTGAGGCCAGCCAGTTTCGGTGTGGAAACGGTCGTTGTATCCTGTCCGTGTGGCAGTGTGACGGCGATGAGGACTGCACTGATGGAAGCGACGAGAACTCCTGTGGTGAGAAAACAACACTGTTGTGCGCACACTCTGAGCAGAGAGCTGCCTCACTAACGTACTGCCAACAGAGTGAAAGCCCAGGAGAAGGGCTTGTGTTCACATCAGTAACATGCTGTAATTGTGTAGTCAAAAGTTTTGCCGTAAAGCTCTGTTGTCCCAAAACTATTAAACACATCACTGAACCAGACTGCACTGGTTGATGTTCGTTTTATTACCACAAATGCATGTGCTACTCATTTAGTTTGAGTCAATCACATGTACACATCATCTTGCTGTATCTATTGGACTAAAGCAACAAACTTGTGATTCTGTGTCTGATAATTGGCCCAATCAGACACACTGGTTAGTTTGATTAAAAACTACTTTCAGCAAATTGGAATGTTTCTCAAAAAAGAAACTTTAAGTCCTCAGTGCCACAGTCAGTGAAGTCTGGACAGTGTATGTTAGGGTGATACTGTTTGTGCTGTAGGGGTCGGTTTGGTTCCATTGCTCCTGTGCAGCATGTGGGCTGAAAATGTACTGCATTTACTCAGTGTGGGTGAAATGATGACAGTCCTTGCTTACAATTAAGCATGCGTTCCTGCCCAAGTGAACAGTATTTAAGTTCACTTAGAAATGGAATCTGAAATGCATTTTGAGAGCTTGCTTTACAGGCTGCCTGAGTTGCATTGACAGGACTAGGGTTTGTGGGGTTTTTTTTTTTTTAAACTTCAGTTGAGCTGCCCTGAATATGTCTAATGATTTACAGCTTGGCTTCCAGAAAGCACATTACATCAGTTGAAAACCTCTGAAAACTATAGAAGTGTCTTTCTTACACAACATTGCCCCAGAAAAAGTATATTCAGTGTTTGTATAAACCACAAATACATGGTGTGAAAGGATGCAGTAGTCTGTTGCACACTTTATTCAGACGCAGATACGGTTTCCCCATACATTGATTTGTGGCAAGCTAACAATACAGTGTTTATGCTACATCTTGATTTGAAATGAGATTCGGCTTTAATGAAGTGCATGTATTCACTCAGCACCTCATGCCCTATTCTTAAACATGGCAATGGGCCATCTGAACAGTTTCATTATATATAAACCATGTCAAAAGCAAAGAAACTATTAGCAAGCTTGTAGGATAAGTTAATTTTAGAATACAGCTGTTAACCTTGGCATGAATGTATATGGACTGCACTGAAAGTGTAAGTAGAAGTATTTCTACAGCACACTTCTAAACCAGTTACAAGGTGCTTTGCAATAAAGAAAAGGGAAAAGCACAATCTAAAGTGTTCAAGAATTCCAACCGATACAAGATTCAATACAATCGAAACAAAATGGGTAGACATGTCAAAGTGAGTGAACACCTGCCTAAATATCTTCAAAAATGTGGTGTTTGAGGTTATGCAAATGACTTAAGTGCAAGGGTCACATGACTTTGTACATAAGCAGTGGCTTCCCTGCATCTTGGCAGCGGGGGGGGGGGGGGGGGGGGAGATATCTGTTTCAGTTTTTCTCTGTATATAATTTTTTTTTCTCTCCACTCCAGTGAAAAAAACGTGTGCAGAGGTGGACTTTGTGTGTCAAAATGGCCAGTGTGTCCCGCAGCGGTGGCACTGTGATGGGGAGCCGGACTGCGAGGACGGGTCTGACGAGAGCATAGAAATCTGCCGTGAGTAGATGGGTTTCCGCTGACGGGCTTCAAGTCGGCCTTTGTTTCAGAATTGTGTTGATGGAAGGTTTGTTTGTCTTGTGTTTTTTTTTAAACAGACTTCAGATATATAGTATGTCCTTGTTAAACTAGACTTTTTCATGTAGTTGTGGAGGAAAAAAAATTGCAGATTACACTTGGCCAGATGAGCTTCAGTTTTAGGTTGGCTTCAAAAGATTGCCATGTTAACTTTGAAAGCCCCAAACCAACTGTTGTTCATGAAATATTTTCTGGCTTGTCTACCCTGATGTTCTACTGCCAGTCTATGGTTCATACTGAAGATAACATGGTATATAAATATATAATTTCTTAACGCCAGTATCTCAAGGCTAAGCTTGCTACTAGTTTTTAAACAAATTCTGATATAAGCAAGGCTTTATTTATATGCACAAGTGCTTTTAGATCGGCAAAGAAAACTGTTTAAACAAGCATTAAAAAAAAAACAAGACAGTGGGAAGGCTGAAGAGACAAATATGAGATCAAACTGCAATGCGGAAAGTGCAGCCAAGAAACAAACCCAAATAACAGGAAAATGGCAGAGTTCAGTTTGGATTCTAATGTGCTAGAGCTGGGACACATTTAAGGTTGTCAAGAGGTTTGTTCCATCTGTATGTGCTACAGTAGCTAAAAACGGCTTCACCTGCTTTAGTTTGACCTGAGGTTCTACCAGCTGACTGCTTCCTAAGGATCTCAAGAGCCCTGCTGGGTTCAGGGAGATCATGTTTTGGCCCCAAATGACTGGCTTTATAAACTAAGCAGTAGCAGCAGGACTTTTGTTTTTATTTTTTAGATCAACTTGAATTACAGTGCCCATTGTCATGGTAATGCCATCCAGTGGCACTGTAGGGGTGTTTTTCCTATGCCAAGTTCAGGCTTCTGTACTTGAGAGGAATGTGCAATTGGAACACTGGTGTCCTAGCTGACACTCTGTACTGAATGACTGTAGCTGCCTGCTAATTATATCTAGGTGGTATGTGGTGCATTCTGGGATACTTGGCTGCCCTAAGACAATGCAAGTCAGCTCCCAAAGCATTCTTGATAAAATGGGTGGAGCAAGAATACGTCTGGTTTTTGACATGTTCTTGGTTGGATACAGATTTTGAATTGAGTGCTTGGGCTGTGACCGACATTTATCACGTCTAAGAACAAATGGAGAAGTTCTCATATTGGAAAATGCCCCAGATGTTAATACAATGGCAAAGCTCTGTCAAAACAAGCAGCTTTACTTTTTTTAAAGCTGTCAAGCATGGTTCAAGTAATCTCTAAAATCAACATTGCATGGTTATGTTTACCCAGTTTTTGTAGACATGACAGCCAATGATCTGGTGAGTCTTTTCAGTGCTTGTTGTATGTAGCATGACGATTACCTTTGCTGCATCAGCCCCTTTAAGAAAATGCTGCCAAGCACAGGGTAACTCGCCTGTTATCTATGTAAATTACTTTGAACAAATGAGTTCCTTCAGCAGCTTGAAGCAACAAAGCCCATTTACTCATATTAACAAGGCAGAACATAATGAACATTAAAGCATGAAATCAGGACTTGTACATACAACCCCCAGAAAGGGCAGACTGTGTGAACGGCCCTGATTACTGCAGGCTGACTACAGTGAAGAGCACAGGGTTCAGGCTAAAGCACTAAATCGAGCATTTCTTTACTTCATAGAGAATAACATAGTGAGGAAAATGGAGGCAAACGTCTGATTTTAATTGCTTTGTATTGCACCTGCTGTACCCTGCGATGGATTGGCGACCTGTCCAGGGTGTACCCTGCCTTCGCCTGATTGCCGGCTGAAAAAAAAACAAAAAAAAAAAAAACTTAAACTTGCAGATGACTGACTACCTAGGACATGCAGTTAACAGATTAATATTTAGATATTTGGTAGTTGTAGTGATGAACTAGCAGCAGAAAGTTTAAGTACACAGCAAGATCTCAAGAGAATTCTATACTTGGTGTTTTTGGTGCTTTATCTGAGACTGAAAGGAGTTTACAAACTTCTTTTTTTGACCATCAGAGGGTGTAGCAGAGACTACTGCTGTTTCCATCAGTATCTAATGCTGCAAAAATTTAGTGAAGCACCAAGGTGTCCCTGTAAGCAGCTGTGTCAGAGCAGCTCAGCTTTAAATGAAGTGTGATGTGAGATCTCGATGTGCTCACTCAGATGAATGATGATGGAAAGTGTTTATGCTGAAATCACTTTTTAATGAGAATTTGTCAGGCCTGCCTTCCTGTGCTGTCAAAGACAAATGGACTTTGGCATTTCCTCAGGTGCAGAGATGAACGTAAGAGGAAAGATGAGGGCACTTCCTCAAATGCATGTCAGTTTGATGTATGCTGTGCTTCCTGAAATTTTCCCTGGGTCAAATGGAAGGTGTAGAAAGTATACATCTCATCCTCAGTACTACAAGAAATTACTGAACCCCAGGTCAGTTCCCAGCATCAAGATGGCAAGGTACCACCAGCATGTGTAGAAACTGGCTTGCTGCAGGGATGATGTTTAGCATCTTGGTGGTGGTAGTAGTAGTTTATTGTTGTTTTGCCAAGTGTTTTTGGTTCACCTTGTACAGATAGACCGACCAGTACTAGGCACACCTGTTTACCAAATGTGTGAAGGAAAAGTGAGCAAAAAGTCCAGTATGCTTTTAATTCATTAACTTTATTACAGCCTGTTATTAAACAGCAAGCACACATGGAGTTAACGGTTTACATACTGATAATCTGA